TTTTTTTTTTTTTTAACAAACACTGTAAAACTCTTTCTACAGAAAAGGAAAACCCAAAACCACAAATGCAGAATACTACCAGTCTTCAGCTATACACACCCCATCCCAGGCTCCTATAAGCCCAGAAGACAAAGGGGATTGATTTCACCCACCACCCACATTTCCTGTGTCCTAAATAGCATAAGAAACACATGGAAAAGCTCCTGAAAGTGAAATTCTGTTGAGATATTAGTCCTCCCCTGCCTTTCTCTGCACAACCAATTGCCTTAGCTTCCCCTAAATGGCCTCTCCAAGACCTCACTGTCCTCGCCTTAGCTTCACTTATGCCCTGACCTACTAAACCGAGGGCCGAAGTTCTCATTCTCATCCATCACATTAGGCAGCCCTGGGCCAAGTTATCACCCTGCAACCAGAAACCACAACCCAAGACAGCCGGGGAGCAGAAATGACACCAGAGCCACCCTGCCCACACCATGCCCACCGGACATGGATGCAAGAATCCGAATGCACGCACCTCAAACTGGAGGGAAAACTTGTAGTCAGAATCTTTGGCCATATCCTTGATGTAGGCGTCAAAGTCATCTAGTTGAACAGGGCTTTGTCAAAAATAAAGAAATAATATAGTTGAAAGATCTGTTGATAGGCAATAACCAACACCATATTTCTCAGACCCAAACAACTTTCTCAAAGATAAAGTCTTACTTCTCAGTGGTTAGCTCTGTTTTTACTTTTTATATTTATTTATTTACTTAATAGATAAACTGGGGTGTAGGCCAAAGGTGCTGGGGGTGAGAATATTCAGTATGTGTGTGTGTATAAACATGCTTTCATATACATATTGATATGTATACATTCAGTGTGTGTGTGTATATATATATACACATACAACACATTATGTATAAACATTAAACATTATACACAAATTCTACATGACATAAATAAATATTAAATAGATTTTGCTTAAAGTTCATTAGCTGATCTGATAGATTAACTTATGCTAAAATTTTAATAGATTTTAAAGGATATTTTACCTCTTAGATAATACATTTAAGTGTTTATGGTTTCTCCGTGAAGACTCCCATGTCATTTTGTTCTAGGTAGACAGGGACATTAGCTTCATGCTAGATGAGCACCAGGCTGATGATCCAAGATCACATGATCACCTAGGCAGAACCCTGCCTAGAACCCCGCATGTAGCCTTCCTCCTCAAGTGCCCTGGCCTCAACTCCCTCCTGGTGTCTTTAAGGGGCGGTTTAATCCAAAAGCTAGACCTAAGAATTCTAGGTGCCATTCCCTCATCAAGTATGAAGAGGGAAGGCAAATCACAAAAAACATTCATGGACCAGAAAAGCAAGGAGGAGAGAAGAGACAGACAGAGGGAAGAACAGGAAATAAATGAACATGAGGGTAAGGAAGAGGAAGCCAAAGAGGAAGTAAAGAAAGCTGCAAGGGAGCAGAGATCAACAGGAGATCAACAGGACAAACATCCAGAGGGAAAGGGGAGAAGGAAGAAAGGAGTTGGGGACTGTAGCTTTGTGGATACAGGGAAGGGGAACCCAGGGTATCGTGTGTGCATGCATTTGGAGTGAAGAATAAAGAGAAGGTGAATTGAAGGTGTGAGAGTTTGGGAAGTCCCTCAAGAAAAGGCTGTTAGAAAAAGGCTTAGAAGGGAAGAGAGAAGAGGGACAGAGGAAGTTGGTTTAGCTTGACGTTTGGGTCACTCCCAGTCCTAGCTCCACCCCAGCTTCTAGACACAACCACTTCTCTTCTCCTTTCTGCCTGTGTCTGGGAGGATGAGCTCTGTGGGAGTCTCCCCTTTTGACTCAAGAGATCTGGCCTATTCTTCTACCCCTCACTGAATAACCTGAGTAATAGTTTTGGGCACCAAAGTCTTTGCTGCAATCCTTTTGTGTGAAGGTGCCTCTCCTACATCACTTGCTAGATGTCCAGGGAAAGCATACTGATGTGAGGCATACTAAGGAAAATACCATTTTATCTATGTATGCCCCCAAACTATGTCAATCAAGGATAAACAAATATTTTCACACCATTTTTTTTTTTTTTGTATTATACATGCCATGATTTCTTCCCACTTCTTTTGGGTACTAAAGATCTGCCTGGAAATCTTAGGTGCATCCTTATATTAATTTACCAATGCGCTAGTCTAGGTAAGTATCAAGGATATCTATTTATAGGAATGTTCTGCCCTTTACATGCAGTTTTAACTACAGACCTGACATGATAAGGTAATTAGGCTTTTGAAGTCAACTGATTGTTCATTTTCACCCCTCAGAATCTGAATTTTTATGCCTTAACAGTTCAGTAGGCAAGTGAATCCACAGTCAAGCTGGAGTAATTATCCTTTTCTATTAACTATAAAGATTTTCTGAGACAGCATTTCTCAAAGTGTTTACTACAACACCAAATAGTTAATGGTTATGCAATTAGCATAGAATTTTTTAAAAAAAAAAGCTTTTTGGGCGAGTTTGATATAGCTAAATTATATATATATATATATATATATATATATATATATATATTTTACAATTTCAGACTAGTAAAAATCCTCCTGCAAGATGTTTATAGTCCCTAACAACTCATTCTCTAAGAGTCCATACAGTGAGAATCTTCCTTTTTTCTGATATACTTTCTTAGGTGTGGATATACCAATATGTGACAGCTAAACTATTAGAATTTATGTTTATCTCTTTAAGCATCCCCTCTATTTGAAGACAAGAAGTCTTTTGTGGATTAAGATCATCCCAAATTAAAAAGATCAAGATGATGACCACAACAAGAATATAATGAACACAATATGATTATTATGAAGAACATTTTGAAGTGAAATATTTTCAAATGAAATTGTAAGAAAAACTTACTTAGTCAGTTTCCTCTTCTTTAAACCATTTTTACTCCTGAGAATTAAAAAAAAAACAAAATTTACTTGGGTAAAAGAATTGACAGTGATAAAACTTGAAGAGCTTAACTAATTACATCAGATACCTCAATTTTATTTAATTTTCATAAACATACCTTAGGCTTGTTTAATTATGTCTCCTTAAAAAGAAGATAATTTCAGGTTCATTTTCTAAGACTTCATTAGATTTCAGGCACATACAAGCACTTTATACTTTGTATTTGGCAGAAACCGAATTCTAGAAGTCTATCTTCTTGCTATCAGTTCTTAAATTGAAGTATTTCTCAAATAAATAAAACTACCCATTGCCTGAATACGCTAGTAAAGAAGGGGAAAAAAGCTGGGGAACAAAGTGAGAACTTATAATAGGGGTGTGGGTGTGTTGCTTTCCTAACTAAAAACTAAAATGACCCTTTCGGGTGGTTTTGTTGGGAATGTGAAATTGTGCTGTTAACATGGCTGACATGGCCGATGTAACTCTACGGCATTATTCAGTTTCCAGCTCACTTTTAAGCTACTTGCAGGACTGCACAGTCCATCTGCTCTTAGTCCATTGCCAGCCTGCACCCCGTCTGCTCTTGCACCCCGCGTGCAGCAGCCCCCAGACTTCTTCAGCCAGAGGAACACAGGTGGCCGGTCAGCAGACGCCTACTGAATTGAAAACTCTCTTGCCTGAACTGGGGGTTTGATTTTTGATTCAAATATGAATCTGATCGGAGACGTGGTTGCGTGAAGTGCCCATGGGCAATCAGGACGTGTGGACAGAGGAGATAGTACAGGTGAGGGGTGGGGGAAGGGTCACAAGGAAAGAGGCCTTTCTGGCTCATGTTTTTTTGATTGCTGGCAGTTTTTAGTTCTCGCTTGAGTAGTTCCTCTCCTGATTCTTCCTGCTCTCCTTGTCTTCCATCCTCAGGACAGACACTCCAGCATTTACTTTGTTCAAAAAAACCCACTATGGACTCTTGACAGAGCAGGATAGCACAGACACTGTGGAGCTGAAGCAGCAGCATCTCCTACTTGGCTCTGGCTGTGGTAACTGAGTCGACTTTAGGAATCCCATTTTTGTGTGTGTAGTAGGAGTTGATTACTTTAGTGCCTTATAAAAGCAGAATGTTAGCAGATAGCCAGCAGTCTGGTAAAGCCAAGATCCTGCCAACATATTTTGTGATTGGGAAATGAAATGGAAAAAAAAAAAAAACCAAAACAAAGCCTTTTCTATTCAAACAGACTTTTGGGGAAATTGGAAAGAAATGTATGTGGGAGGCAACACTGAATAAATTCAGTGCTGAAATATTAAGCTGCTACTATTCAGCAGCTGTGTTGAAACCCGATTCATGGGGAAGTCACATTTTTCCTTTCCCTCTCCTTCAGGCGCTGACTGAACTGTGATGGTGACAGACAATTCCACCAGTTTCTGTAGGACGGACGTGTGCTTATTGTCATGACCACAGGTGTTCATGACTTGTGGACAGCTTTCATTGTTCCATTTAGGTCCTGCTGAATTCCTGAAGACACCTAAGGGTTCCTGTATCCTAAAACTGTGGATATGACTAGATTGAATTACTCCACAGCCATACTGATAGAATTTTCTATTGCTGCGCTAAGACTAAACTGAAAGGAAAATTTACTTTTAAACATGTAAGTGAAATCTTTGCTAGCATTTTGAACTACAGCACATTCTGGAAATCCAGTCTATGTGACCATGATCATGATGGGTGATGAATAGGGCTTGGTCTGGATTTTAGTCGACCAGATTTTAATCTAACTGATGAACAACACCCACCACGCATTTTACCTGCATAAAGGATCAAGCATTGCTAATTTTTCTCTTTCATTTGTATTAGATTAGCTTCAAAACCTTCCAAGGACTTCAAGAAGTGAAGGTGCATTTTTTCTAAGTTCTTCATGGTTTGGACAGTCTTGCAACAGTGGTCGGACTAGAATGTATTCCAGAGAAAAATATGAGGCAAGGCCTGGGATTTATGCCTATAGAAAACAAAGACCCTAGGTTTTTCTTATTTCCTAAAGACTATTTACTTTTTATGAGCTAAATGGAAATGGCCCCCAAGTTTATAAAGGTCACTACAGTCAGATCATTCTCTAAGCAGAAGCTGTACAGAGTGCAAGTCAAGCTGAGCTCCGTAGACCACCCAGGCAGGTACCCACAGGAGGGCAGTAGATGATGGGGAGTGAGTGGGGAAGGGAGAGCAGGGAGTTCTGGCTGCCTAGTCCAAATGAGGGGGTTTGCTGAGCACAGGAGACAACATCTGAGAGCCTTCAAGGCATAAGACCTGGTCAAGTCTGGTGGGAAGACTGCTTCATGTTGATTTTGGGGTTCCATGCAGACCCCTACCCACCCAGGAAGAGACTACAGGGGAGCATCACACACACACCCCAGACACTTCAGAAGGACTTTAGAAGTCACAGGAACACATCTTTCCAAGAGTTAGTTTGGACAAGAGTGGTCAGTTCACTAGGCAGTTATTTCTGTATTGCTCAGGAAAAGAAACAGTCCTTCTAGATACTTTTGTCTCAGATTTCAAAGTTCTTAAATAAAACTGGAGGGGACAGTCTTCATGACTTGCATATTATAATGCGTCAAAGTCAAGAAAATGAGAATTTAAAGGAAACTCTTCTTCAGAGTGAAGAACAGATTTCAGAGATCTGGCTCTCGAAGCAGGGTTTCCTCGACTGTGTGGTGTCACGTCGTTCTCCTTCAAACTCTATTTCCTGTGGTGCTGGCCAGAGAGATGGCAGAAATGTGAAGACAAACACCACAAAGAAGGGATACAAATGACTTCAGTGGATGAAAGCAGCCTCTTTTGGGGTCTCTTGGTTAGTAGATGAAGAGAAAAGCAGCAAGTGCAGGGATTCTGGGCAGCTTTGTGTATTCTGAGCTGCTTTTGAGAAGCAGAGACCCTGTCCCGGCTTCCTTGATCTGGCACAGCCCAAGTACCAGGCAGAGAACACGACTCGTGTCTGTAGATTTTCACTGGCTGCTTTGTGTGTGGTTTACACAAAAGGGAAAGAATGTGCAGGGTTCTCCATGTCACCTTCTCTTCCCACCTGGAGACCACCCAGTCTTTTAAAAATGACTAATGGGAATTGCTCTCCTAACTCAATCTCAGGCTATCAGGCCTGCCCCAACTTAGCAGGCCTTGAAGATAGTTCAACAGTGAAACATCTTAAGGAAGACATGTAAATAAGTACAGGCACACCAGACCTATTGAAGATGAACTGTCTTGAGAAATTGAAAAAGTCAGAGAATTAAGCAGAGAAATGAAAGTACGGCTGATGGAGCTTTCTTTTCCTTGACAGCCATCAGTGAGTGCTCTAAATAAGGCACTTTTGCTACACACATCATAATGGTCAAAGTGCTCCCAAGCATACTCATAAGGGTTAGTAGATCCTGAATTAAGAGTACATGCATATTTTGAAGGTCAAAAAGGAATCGATGATTGCCATTCATACCTGAAAACCACCCCACACTAGAATTGGCTGTTAGCCACAAACTTGGAATAATAGCGCCTGGGTCTCCAACGCCCAGCATATTCTGATTTCATGACAAGTACATCTACGACTCAAAAGCTTTCCTTTGCTCTTCTTTTTAAAGAGAATATAAATTCTGGCTTTAACACTCTACATTGTGAGGCAGTCCTTCTAAATAGATTTTCCACTGCAACCTGAAGTCCTTAACTCTGCCAGCTGTTTTTCTTCTTTTTTTGGGGGAACTAAAAAACATTCGATCAACTGTGTTTTTGAATAATTCTCCAGAATACTTTTCCACATCCTCATAGACCTTTTAATCCCCCAGTCTTTGAACTATTTTTTGATTTTTAAATTACTTCTCCTCAAACTGTCCACATTTCTGGACTTGTCTGCACATAAATTTATACCTAAATCCCATGGACTAATATTTAATGACACATTTTTGGTCAGTTCTCTAGGAAGTTGTTCCTTTCTTTTTTTACTGATCAAGAAAAGAAATGGTCCTTCTACACACTTTGCCTCAGAATTCAAGGTTATTATTTTTTAATACTAAAGGGGCTACTCCTCACAATTTCAATATTAAAATGCTTCAAAAGTCAAGAAAATGAGACCTTGAAGGAAACTTTTACAGAGTGAAGAACAGATTTCAGAGATACGGTTTTGGAACGTGGGTTTACTAGATAGTGTGATGTTAAGATAATCTCCTCAAACCTCTACCTTCTCATCTCCGAAATAGGCTAGCTAATATTCTTCAGAGTTGTAGGAAAAGTTCCATGTGGTAACTCAACAAAAAGGCACAAACAGAGTCTGTTCAATATTCACCGAGTTGGCATTATTAATAAACGCACTAAGAACCCAAATACAGAGTGACTGTATTTTTCCACTTCTAGGAAGGAGCTCTCTAATGGATACAGACAGCAAGGCAAACAGAAAGCACCATTCACAGAGATGAGAGATACATGGGTTTACTTAATGAAGAAACAATTGTCTAGTTAAAAAAAATAGAAGAAAACTTGCCAAGAATATCACAAGAAGCAAATTTAGTTGAGAAACCATTATTTCTAGCAATCTTGGTATACCTTTAACTGCCTCAATTCATTTCAATAAATTCTTAATCATTTTAGATGATGCCAAACACATAAAATAACCTAGAAGAATATTTCTTATTTTCAGTGCTTGAAAACTAACTTTTAAAGACTCTGTTAGGTAAAGAGTAAAAAAAAAAAAGTCACTTACCAAGGATTAATATAAAATGCCAAAAGATAATCAGTCCAAAGACATGAGGGTAGCAGGGTTAAGAAAGCAAATATACTCCTACGCCTGTGAGCATTAATAGATAACAGATGTAAAGATGAAAAAGTGGCAAGAGTTAGTAATATAAACTGTGAACAGGTAGCAGTAAATTACCTATGGGAATCAAAATGACAAGCACCATAATTACAATTAAATATTATTCCATTATGTGAAATTTAAATGTGAGGGTTTAAGTGCTTTCATATTGGCAAAATCAGGTTTATTCGCACATATGCTTATTGTAATCAGATATATTTCTTTCCACTTATTTTGTGCTAATTAGTCTGCTATTAGATGATTACATTTTGCATTCAGTTAAACGAGGTTCTTAAGTATCTCATTAGTTATCTCAGGTCTTATTCTTAGATAGTAACCTTCCAATGCTCAATTCTATTTTAAGAAGCCTCTGGAACATCATCTGATAGTTAAACAGCAGCTTGCATTAGGGAATATAAAAGGTCAGTTTACAAACACTGATTCAGGTAAAGATGTAGCTTTTGGGACATATTCTTATAAGAATCCACTACCAGCTGTGACTTTCTATGGTGCTTTTACTTTAATTAATATGATTTCTAAAAGAATAACCCCCTAAACAGAGCTGTGTTATAACACTCAGGGATCATTCATTCCAGATAGTGGCTTATTATCCTCCACTCAATCTGAACTATCAGATTTAGAATTATCAACTGAATGGGAACAAAACTACTTAGTTCCACTTTAATTCTAGTTTAGCCTATAATCTAAAGTGCCTGGCTTGAATCCAATTTCAACCACTTATAAAATAGAACATTCATTAATGAAGATTTAAAAATATCCTGTGGCTGCCTGGATAGCTATTCTGAGAATTAGGGAGGGGGAAATCCTGTCAGTTTGTCATGTTCGAGATGACAAGTCCCCACTGAGATATCTATTCCCAGGCAGTCAGAAGATGCTAGTGCTGGCAAACCTGTCTTTGCCAAGAGCTGTAGAATATTCTTGATTTTAAAGAAGCATCCTGTAGTGAATTCTCTTCTCCTTTCTCTCAGACCTGGTCTTCCTCGTTAAATCAATTGTGACCGGTTGTCTCTTTGGTCAGTCAGTGCATACAAGTAAGGAATGTAATTGGATCAGTTCTTGGATGCACCAGTCATGAGTGCTCTGTGCCTGCCCCCTTCTCTAAGGGCAGACCAGAAAAGAGACAAATATTAGTCTCTGCATAGTGGAAGGTATATAAATATATTGACCAATTCTAGTCACATTTCTAACTTTTTACCATCTAGGATTTATGGGTTCCTCTTTCTCACTGTTGAATTGATCATGTATTCATAGCAAGATTCCATTTAGGGTACAAGTGAAAAATAGTCCAACCTAACCTAGTGTCTTGTTAAATAGAATCCTATGTCACCAAGATTTTCAACTAAAGCAAGAATCCAATGTCTATTCAAAGACTTATATTTTAAATAAAACCCTTCCTCTTAGTGATTCCACTGAATTAATTTTCTAATCTCACACATCTAGCTTTTAGGATAACTGGTATGGAGGCATGAAAAAACAACCCAGTATCACTTCTCAAGGATTAATATGAAATGTACATTTAAATGGGCTTTACATGATTACTTGCCACAAAATTAAAAACAACCAAAACCATGGATAGATCCTGGAAGGCAATGCTGACTTCATAGTAACTGATTTGTTCAGTCATTCTGTTGGGTATTCATTGTGGAGTATAAAATGCTAATTCTCAGGTATCATTATCAGCTATAATGCCAACCAACGGGATCTCCTGACAATCAATGCTTTTATAATTCTCAAAATATCTCCTCCCCACTCTGGATTGAACATAAAGAAAAGTGAGGTTGTTTTCTCCAGGGAATTGCCTACCATTGCTGTCTATTTACATGTAGGTGCAAGCTGAGCACTCTGGCTGGACACTATTACTTAAGTTGTGCACAGAAATGGGCTCCCACCTTCAGGCACTGACGTGTGAGATTTTAGTAGAGACACTGTTCAGTTTCCAGAGCATCAGTGGTATCTCCCCTGGTCCTTCCACCCATACTTCTCAGTGCGGGGCTGCATTTAAGTCCTTTAGAGTTCTATTAAACCAATTTTTACCAGTGCATGTTTGAAGAGCAGCTAACCTTTGAAAGTTCACTGTCAAATTATGAAAGGCTAATCACGCTAAATCATTATCCCCAAAAGACAGGAAAATGAAGTCTGGAGCACACTGTGCTTTGCCTGGTTACCTGGGGCTAGTTCCCAGGAGAAGATTTTGGAGGAAGCAAACAATCCAGTACTCACCAGTTGTAGGGAAGCTTGCCATCCCTCTCTAAGGATGCGAAATTGACAAAAGTTCCAGCTCCACACTCCCTGTTTAAAGGAACCATAAAATCAAGGTGACCTTGACATTAAAGAGTCTTAACTAGCTTATCACAGTAGGACATTAAACAGAAAAGCTAATGTAAGTTCCTTGTGTTCCTTTTACAAATCATGCAAAATACAACGATAAAACAACTTTTCAAAAGGTTGCATACACCCCAAGCAAATCAATTGAAGCCAACAGGGTTCACATCCTAATCCTTTCCAAAGGGTGCTGATGATTCTAATGTAAATCTTTGAACTATTTGGGAGATAGTAAATTTTTTTTTTTTTTTAAACAAAGCCTTCAATGGTAAGGTGTAGGCACTCTCAGATCAGCTGAGGGCTTTTCAACTTTTAGCAGACTCATTGTGGGATTTTCTTTTTAAAACATTTGGCTTTCTCTTTATCATGATGGTGGATTATCTGGATTGTTTTCTTCCTCCAAAATCTTTCCCTCTTGTGTCTTGTCCTTATTACTTATCATTTGAGATAAGAATAAAACAGTGCTTCCTCTGTAGATAGATCAGCTTTGTAGCACAGAGCTCTTAAGGTGGCTGCTTTCTAATCTCTTAGGGAAAAAATACTGTCAATGTGTTTTTCTAGAAGAAAAAAAAAAGCACATGATTATGTTACTTTTTTGCCTGTCATGAGCATGATAAATAGCTCATGCATTTCCTATTTCCCTCTCTATGAAATTTATAATACTTATTCAGAATTAAAGCAGCATTTTTGTTGAAATTAGTTATCAGAATATTCTAAGATAGCTTTCTCCTTTGGAAAAATACACTAACATACTGTTATAAAAATACTGTGTTATAAGTTATAGTAATTCACTTTCCTATGTTTCCAATATAAGGAACTTCTGATATAAGGAATTTAGTTTATCATTTAACTCAAAGGATTTTAATCTGGGGTCCAAGGAAAAAAGTAAATCTTTATTTGCACAACCTAAAACTGAAATGTAGCAATTCTGTCTATGATTAAAGTGGGCTACAAGCCACAATAAAATCAGTAATTGTGAGATTTTCTAACAAGACAGTGCAGCTATTTTTCTGCAGATACTAAAATATTGCCCATATAGATCACTATCATGATAGCATTAGTAGAAACTCTACTAATTAATACATTGGGTAACTAGTGTTATGTAATGAATTGATAAAGAAGCATAGGAAGCATTTTTAAAACACTTCAATTGCCATATTTTAATATAGTTTCTTTTTAATCCTATGCATTTGTTTTTAATTTTATGCCCTTAAAAAGCAAGCATTATTCTTGGAAGAGATCTAAGACTTCATCAGACTGCCAGAGAGAATTATGACACAAAAAATATTCAGAATCTCTGCTCTAACAACCAGCTGGCTGAAGTACAACTACTCCTAAGTATCTTGCTGTTTGCACCACAACGAATGCTCCTAAACAGATCCTCGTAAATACTGCTACTTCCATCCCCTCAATCATTAGCAACCTCTCCGCTGTTACTATTATGATCTCACTCTGTGACTTGAGTACCGTGCCATCCTATTTTACATCATTGTTGCTAACCATACATGAACATAAGGCTGATTATCCTCTTTTTGATTTTTATTCTTAGGAATAAAAAAGGAAAACTCTTAGTTTTCCTTTTACTGCTCTGGATTCCCGACCAGTTATCATCTTCTTATTTTTCTCCAGGGATACCTCAATCTTTCATTGTTCTGGTGCTTCATCCAGAGACCTCACCTCCAACCCCCACTTCCTGCATTTCATCCAGTCGCTAGTTGTACTACCATTTCTGGGCTAACAACTCCCTAATTTATCTTCAACCCAGTCTTTGCTCTACAGCACACCTGCACTAGCAGTCATTCACCATCACCAGGCATCACCAAGCCTGAAGTCTTGATGTTCCCCTGATAATGAATTCTTTTTATGGGGAATCTTTTCTCAAGTTGATGGCAACTTCATCCTTTCTGTTCTGGGCTGAAAACCTTGACGTCATCCTGTCCTTTATTCACTCCTATTCCACATACAATGTGTTAGTAAACCTGTTGCTTTGTTTTTAGGAAGGTTATGAAATAAGATCATTTCTCATCATCTCCACTGCTACTGCTCTTAATGTAACTACTATCATCCCTTGACAGTTGGCTCTGGGGGCTCCCCAGATGGATGTGCCTGCTTTTACCCTTGTAGCAAGTCAGCCTGATAAAAAGTGAAAATGTTAAAATTAAGTTAGTGCTTACTAATCTTTACTCCCAAATTGCAATCGCTGCCTGTAAAAGCTGAAGTCCCTGTGATACCTCCTGAAGCCCCCTGCAGCCTGATGTTCTGTCTTGTTACTCCTCTGCTTTAGCTACACTATGTTTTGAACATGCAAGTCACCCTCCTGCCTCAGGGCCTTTGCATGGCAGCTCCCTCCACTGGGCAGGCAATCTATCACCCAGATAGCACACATTCTTTAAGCCTTCCCAGACTCTCTCAGTGAGATTGTTGAATCTGCCAGCACTTCTGTTCTCTTTCACACTGCTACTGCCCTTACTCTGCTCTAGTATGTTTCTCTTCTCTTTGGTTAACGTACCCTGCAGTCTTTTTACTTTATCGTTATTGTTTAGTGTTTTATCTCCTCACTAGAATGTAAGCTCAATGAAGGCACAATTTTTTAAAATCTGTTTTACATACTGTCACATCCAAGCAACTGGTGTCTGCCACACAGCAGGGGCCCATTAATATTTCTCCAATGAAGTTTCCATGAGCTGTAGAAGTTCACACGGGTTGTAAATTCCTTCTGACTCCAAGGAGTGTCATTTCAGAGCCCCACACTCAAGTCACAGAAGGCAGAACCATTCCCTTCCTGTCCTTCTAAGGTTTATCCAAATGCCATTTTCCCAGAAGGGTGATATTCACATTCAGAATGGATTTCTTTTCTCAGTTTTCATGGCATCTCCTTTTTATCTCCTTTCTGGTATGAGTCAGCTTTTACCTTTTATACATTTATACATGTCTCCATCTGGGTTCTAAGTGCCCAGTGGGCAGCTCAGATGTCTGGTTTTTCTTTGTGCCCTATAAGGCAGTGATGAAATCATTATTGGACGTTATGTATTTATCTATAAGTATGTGAAAGCTATAAATCTAAGGAGACAGATGCTGACTGACAACCAAGCAGGTTAACACTGGACAAATATAAATTTCCCAGTAGTACTCAACAAAGCAGCATTTAAAAAAATGAGATCTGAAGAATTGTTCTGATAGTCTAGGGGCCACCAGAAGTCCTTGAGACTATGTTGTGATAAGAAATGCAGGAGGGGAATAAAATATCACCAAACTCATAAATCAAAGGTCTTATTGTAACTGCAAGAAAAATGAAACTGCTTACAATTCTGAGTCATAAAAACAAAACTAAAAGGAGACTTTTAATGAATCTAGTGATAAACTCTACAAATATTTTCTGATAAAACAGCTTCAACAATAATTAATAGGGAGAGATGTTTTTCCTGTTCTTTTCTGTGGTCTCCATATTTATTTATTCCACACATGAATCATAGTGAGGAGGCATAGATCATTCTTTTATTCCAAAATATATTTGAAAGTGCCCAATGTAATGAAAGGACGCCTGTTTCTTGGCTATTTAAAATGACAAGATAGGAGGTCTGACTTCGTATAAACACACAGTCCTATTATTTACCTTGTCTATGGGAATGTTGTCTAAGATAATATTTTAAAGTCTACTTGGAACACATGCAAAAACAGAAAGACACAGAAAATTGAAGTTAAATTGGCCACCATACAATTCAGGTCTCTAAACCTACACGTATGGGAAATACAAATGTTTAAAGGCTGTGGTGAAAGAGGAAATGAGCTGAACTTACCTAGCCATCTGAAGGTGTTTTTTCCTTAGGATGATGAGGGTAACTAGCAGCAGTCCAATTAATAGCGTGCTCAGGAGGGCCAGCACAGAGATGACCACCACGTTAGGATTCATCTCTGTAACTGAAGGGGAAGCTCCATTATATGGAAACAAACAGTAAATAAACCACCACTGAATAAACAACATTCATTGCTTTCCATCTGGTTTTAAGAGCTGTGGACTTTGGGTGATGACAAAAGCAACAGTGTTTCTCCAGCTGATTCCAGACTTTTCCTAGTCAACGCTGACTTAGGAGAGGAGCCTGTTCAACAGTGCCAGTGGCCGGAGAATTGAACCCCTCTCAAAGAAGGACGGCTATGGTGCTTCTTTGAAGAGACACTATCTACTGGGAATAATACCTAAGCCATGGTTCAAATTCAGTTGAAATCAAAAGAATCTAGAAGTCATTCTAATGTTTATCATTGTTTTAACATTTTTGGAAATAGAAAGAGTGGCAGAATCTTACTTCATGCCTGTAACTTAAAGTCGGAAGGTGCAACTGGATCTTTTGCTCACAACTAATAATGTATATGAAAAAGGCATTAGCAAGCCGCCATCTGCTGCAGCACTTAACACATCGGTAGGAGAAGGCATTCTGATAATCTGTGCCAAATGTTGTGAGGTTTTCCATCTGCACATGCAAGAGAATAAACCTATTAATGAGCCGCAGGGTCCTTACATACAGGGGTTCTGTTCTTTTCAGATACTTTTTGATGACAACTGGTCATCTAAGGCACTGACATGTCTTGTTCGTCACACATGAACTCACAGGCAAGAGTGGGGAGGAATCTATGTCAAATGTTTTTGTAAAACATTAAAGTTCTACAAAAACTAGAGAAGAGGAGGAAAATGGTACCATCCTTTGCACTGAACCCAGCACCAAGCAGCCTGGGATATTTGACCCCTTGTCCCAGGTCACAGACAGAGCACTTGGGCAGAAAGAACATCTAGACTTGTGGTCAGAGGTGCTTGTTCAAATTCACTTGGCAAGTAGCTGCAGTTTAAGGGAAGTTATTTTAGCTGTCTGTCTTGTTCTTATATCCCTCACTAGCAGATAAGTTTAATAACATCATCTGTTCCACTAGATTGCTGTGGAGTTGACAAGGAATAGGGAACATTAAAATATTACTTAGAAAAAAAAATGTAAAAGGATGTAAGGATCAGAAACCAATATATTTTCAGGTTCATTTTTGTCTTCTCTTTTGGCAAAAAAAAAAAAACAAAAAACAAAAAAACAAAACAAAAAACAGAAACAAAACAAAAACAAAAAACCACACACACACACCAAAAATTAGGGGAAAAAAAAAAAGGTCCGTTCTGCAAGTCATTGTCACTGAATAGAGTAGCTAAATACAGAACATGTTACAAAAATGAAAATGAACCCAATAAAGGGGAAATGTGACTGCTTAGCAGTGCTTTATTGTCAGTGGCTTCCCAGGGTCTTAGACTGCAGAATCAGATTCTCTACAAACAGAGTAAAATATGTCATTCAGGAAGAGTAAAGAAACATTATTTCTAGAACTTTTGTAACAGGGTAGTCTCTAGGGAAAGGGACGCTCCAGGCTCCCTGCCCCACCCTCAGGAAGGGTGGCGCTGGGCAGGAGGAGGCAGCTACAGGGGACTAGAAAAGGGAGAGAGGGGACCAAGATGGCTTAGAGGGGGCATGTGGGGCAGAGACATGAAGCTGCACTGCTTCTTGGCCTTGGACTTGTACTAGGGACCTGGGGGACGTGGGAGGAGACATATAAAGGAGTGGGTGACAGACCTGTGGGGAAGCTGATGTGGCCTTTGTCTTGATTCAGTTTTTGGTTTTGCTCGTGTTCCAGACTTGTGTGCTCCTCTGTGCCGTCCCTTATGGGTCTCCATGGAAGGTGCCTTAGAATTGTAGGCTTATGTGGTCCTATACTGGGCCAAGCCCGTTTGACTGGGCATTTAACCACGAAGGGATGGATAATTTGAAGTGTTTAATTGGAAACTATTTTAACCAAGTTCTTTCTCTTCTCTTTACTGCACACTAATTATATTAAAGTTATTTTCTACTGAAGGTCTTATGCACTAGAGTTCGTTGTGTCTGATGCGGCAGATGGCAGGACCCGCATAGAACAGGCAGGATTGGCGGTCCTGGGATACTCCTCGTGCTGCTAACACTTTGATTTCCAATTTTACCACTCATACTTTCTACTTGATTGGAAACACCGTCTTTGACCTAATAATTTAGTACTGTCATAAACTCTTCAAGCACAGTGAAGGGAGAAGGTGGATATAAAAATACAGATGAACCTGGTTTGAACAGAGTAATAGGATAGCCACTGAAGAGGATGATATGAAGGTGATAACAACTAGCATCGAGGTGGTATGTTCTAGTTCTAGGGCTTTATGTCTTATTTCTAAGTTTCAAAGCAATTCAGCAAGTAGGTATTATTCCAGTTTTACAGATGCAAAAACAAAGGTTCAGAGAGTCAATAACTTTCCCTGACACATGAAGCTGGTAACAGCAGCTGAGGTTAAAATTGAGAACTTTGAAACCAAAGCTAGCGATTTTGATATAAAAAAAAATTTGAAAAGACAGAACTTCCAAAGACACCAGGTTCTACCAAGGCATGTAATTACCCATTGTCGAGACAGCTATGAAGGTGGGAACACTGGGGCTGTCATGGCTAAAGCTGGTGACACTACAGTTGTAGGCAGTAGCAGGAAGGAGGCTGGAGATGGTCACAACATGAGAAGAAACAGAGATGGGTTCCTGGAAATGCAGAAAACAAGATGAATACTGCATTATCTATTTTTTAAAATTATTTTTCACAGTAGAGTACATAGAATAAAATATTTCAAGTATAAGAAAGGATAGCAATGAAAACTAAATTTCCACCGGTCCCTATTTGCTCAATTTTTGTGTATGGAAGTCATCACTGTTGTAAAGGTATATTTTCTTTCCATATTGTATGGCTTATAAACATTTTAGATATAGCTAAAGAAGAAAATTTTAAGTGACAATGGAGGTTATACATTGTTCCATTGTTCTGCTCAAAGGTTTCTAAAGGTTACCTAGAAATCCATGGAAAGGATTATTTACTTTATTTACATAAATAAAGTTCCTATTGGTTAATGGCTAGAGGTCTTCCTTTTTTTTTTTTTTTGCTAATAAAAATACTATAGTACTATAGTAAATAAATCTGGGAACATAGGTATGTGCACACACTCAGTGTATGTGGCTATGTATCATACCTTAATACATAAAACCTGTGTGTGCATCAGACATAGAAACAACCAAAGTGGCCAATGACAAAGAGTTGTGGATTAAAAATATGTGATATGTGAATACTACTAAGCTATAACATGGGATAAAATTATACACACTGGAATACTACTGAGCTATAAAAAAGATGAACTTTGCCAATTGTGACAATACAAATGGAACTTGAGGGAATTATGCCAGGCAAAAAATGTCAGAAGGAGAAAGACAAATAATGGATGGGTCACTTATAAGTAGACTATAAGAAACAAAGCAAACAAACACAAACAAACCCTGGGATTCTGACACATTGTTTCCTGAAGAAAAGGAGATGCATAGAGGAGTTTGGCTGGATGATGGTGGGTGGTTTCTTAGGATTTCTAAAGCTTACACTGTACCTATTTCTAAAGCTTACACTGTAGTCTATGGTGCCTCAGTCAAAAACTGAATACATTTAAAAATGAAACCTATTCTTCAGTAGAAAAAGCTGTTAATTCGGTGGGCCATGGTCATGGTCAGGTTAGTGAGAAGTACTACTAAATGTTTAGCCAGAGTAATAAACTTCTCAAAACAAGGATCTGAAGCACCCCTGCCTAAACAGATGGGAGGCATCAGGACTTACTTCCACTCCCATCTCTCAGTCTTCAATAAAAGAGTGAGTCCGAGGAAAAGCTTTTGCTAATGGAACTTAGTTGTTGTGAGTAGCTGTCTAATCATTGTTTTCTTAAAAGAAGACAGCATCACAGTTGGAGACAGAAACTGGCAGAGCAGTGTTTTCAAAAAGGATTCTTAGAAAAGAAAAAGATCCAGCTGTTCAGTACTGATCAAAGATGAGATTAAGTTTATAGGGGAATATTAAAAGGGGACCAGAATCAAAGCAAATGACCTTGACACTCAGAATGAAGAGATCGGTGCTCCCGGCAATCTCTTTTCTTCTCAGTCTCATGAATTTCATTACATAAAAAGCACCAACTATTCACATTCACAGCATCAGTCTCGGCACTGTTTTGTGACATAGTTCAGAAACTTGCCCTTTTCCTTCTGTGTTTGGCTGTGAAAATTTTTTCTAGGTGCCTTTGCTTATCCTGCTCATTTCACTGATGAACAGCTTAGTCTTCACCCTGTCCTCCTTTGTGTTCTAAAGTCCAAAACAATCGCTGCTCTCTCGGTCTGGTCCTCATTACTAATGAGACAATGCCCCTTCTTTTACATTTTCTCGATAACATGGATCTCTCACGTGGTTTTCTCTTTGCTTTCATTCTCTCTCCTCTATGGCAACATTTACAATTAAATGAAAAAGCTTTTGGTAGGCAAATATTCATTCTACCATTTGTGTTCTTTACAAAACCTCCCATATTTCACATGGCCAGGTCTTCAAATTAATTGAATTTAATGACCAATAGGAAAATGAACCACTTCAGTTCTTCAGTATGTCCTGGAATGGATATGGATTGGGGAGAACAGAGAAATTGGAGAGATAAAAATAAAATGTGATTTGGCAAACAGGTTCTTTTAACATCTTTGGGTTCATTTCTATAACCAGACACAAAAGCACGAACAGTTTTCATTTTCTATAGGTCACAGAAACAGAAGACTTTTGTCTTGCTCAGATAATTAGCCTTAATCAAAAGTGACTCAGACATGGAAAATCAAAGAGTACAGCACCTGGAGTTTTGTTTCTTGGCTAGAACCAACTTGCTGACAGACGACTTCGAAGAAATCAGCCACCCCCTCTTCCACCCACAGCAAAGTCACTGAAGTCTGGGTTTTATTCACTGCAAAAAGGGATTTGGGAGGAGCTGGTTCTGAGGGAAAAAAAAAGTTTAAAAATTTTAACATTCTTTCACTTGTCAGCAGGATGAATGAGCAAACATTTCAAATATAGGTAAGAAGCACCACAATGATTTTATATTGCTTCTGAAATATATCCTTTTGTAAAAGCAGGCATCTAACTTGCAATGCCCCCTTTCCCCTTCCATTTTATACTTCTCTTTTTGGAACACTTCTGCTTTTTAGTTCAACATTATTATAGACATTATCTATTAATAGCTTTGTGTCATCTACAGCAAAGCTAGCCTTGCCCTAAAGATAAAGAACTTTCTGTATGAAGAAGGAAAATCTTTGCTTAAAAGGCAGAGACAACAAAGTGGCACACAGACACAATGGAATACTGTGCTCCTGCTAACGTGAGAAAAAGCCTGGCACTCAGCCAACCACCCTTCCTTGGGAGGCTATTTGGAGTCATTTAGTCTGAGGAGCAGCTTCTTGAAACTGTAGCCTAAATTCAGAATGGTCAAGCTAAATAAGCTAAATAGAATTCTTTAAGAAAAAGATGGATGAGAGGAGATTGTATGACTGCAAAAGTGCTAGAGGACTGATTTATCTCATTCTTTTGGACACTATCTTGATCAATAAATTAATATGTAGTTAAGTAAATCATGCTGTCTGGGCCTCTTCATGCTCATTTTCAGTCACGGAGTCTGGCCTGATTGGCCTGAGACCAAGTTCCTCTCTGTACCCCAGTACTAGGAGCAAGCGGCTGTCTTGTTCCGCTTTTCCTGAATCTCTCCTAATCTCCCCCTTCAGACATTGCCTCTCTGACCAGGTCCTCCAGGAGCCAGTGAGAGGTGTCTGAACCCAAGATCTTCAATCAAGCTTCCCTGCTGTTCTGAGCTGGCCAACCTCTTTGGCCTTGTTTTTTGGGGCACACATCTTCCCATTGGCTTCCCATGACAGTGTTCTCTGCTCACCTGAATGACCCACACTACTTGTTTGTCTCCTTCTGGCAGGATGTTGATTGTCTCTGACAGGTTTTAGCTATATCAGAAAGAAATTACACTTTGCTTCCAAAGGAAAGTTATTACAGGAATTTATAAGTGGAGGCATTGTGGGATTGGGAAGACCTTATAATTTTCACCCTCGGGACAACAGCTGTGCCAGAGAATGCATTATATTAGAACTGTAACGTACAGCACAGTCACTCCTAGCCACATGCAGCCACTGCCAATGTGAGGCATGGTCAGGCCAAATTGAGAAGTGCTGTAGGTGTGCAATACAGACAACACTGGCATGCAAGATTGCGTATGAAACAAAAACGAAAGCATCTCATCAGTAATTCTTCATACTGGTTATATGTTTGAATCATATTACTTTGGCTATATATTTAGTTACATGAAGAATCAGACTCAATTTTACTCACTTTTTATATTTAGTAATGTAACTTAGAACATTTAAAATAACCAATGTAGTTCTCCTGACATTTCCACTGGACACCACTGGCTTAGAGCATCCTTCCTGTTTGACAGAGAAGAAATCTACAGATTCTTTGCATTGTCTGTCCTTGTCAGAAGGCAGGGTTAGCTCAGCTCCACGGCTAGGAAGGTTTAGATAAATTGTGTTTCCTAGTGTTAGGTCAAAAACAGTAAAGTATTGTTTAGGTAATTTTATGTGACAGAGAATACTATGATACAGACTTTTGACTGGTTTCTCCCTCTATTGAACTGTGTCTTCCTGAATTTGTATGTTAAATAGCTAGTCCCCCAATACCTCAGACTGTGACTACACTTGGAGACAAGGCCCTTCAAAAAGTGATAAATTTAAAATAAGGCTCTGGGCCATAATCTGCTCTGATGGGCATCCTTATATAAAGAGGAAAATTGGGCAAAGAGACACCCAGGAGAAACGGGGACAGAAAAAAAAAAAAGACTGTATAAGATCAGAGTTGGAAGGGGTCATCTGAAAGCCAGAGAGGTGCCTCAGGAGAAACTAAACCTGCCAACACTTTGATCTTGGTCTGTGAAGAAATCGCTGCTCACAGGAGAGGGACAGGATGCCCTCATTAATGTCATGAACAGTAAGTGGGCTTTAAGGTAATGTACAGAAGGTGATTTACATGGTGTGAAGAGCCTCATGTAGAAATTGGTTATAGACTACCTCATCACTTTCTATCCTTCCAAATGACTTTTATTTGCTTGTCCATTATAAAGTTTTTTTTTTTCTAACTGACAATTTAAGTCTTAGCTTCAACATTTCCTGCAGTATACTGTCAAATCTCTTTATGGTTAAAATACTTTCAGAGTCTACGATAGGAGCAACTACAGATATGATAAAGGAAGCATAATAATTTCACCAAATAAGGTATAAAGGGTTTGATTTAAACATTTAGTTTTTCAATATTGCTGTGCTGTAATCAAGTATTTGGTTCCTTCCTTTCCTCCTCACTTTTTGTATCCCTCCTTGAGCTGGGATTTCCTCATTTTATAAGGAAATCAAGTACCAGGCAGAGTAAAAAGCTGTAAAGCTATCTCTACCATGTAATTTAGATGGGATTATGAGGCCCAAGCTGTTACTTAGTATCTCCTGGGAGAAAAGGTGACCTTGGGTGAAGTATGAGCTAGTATCTGATTCTTATTCTCCAACCTAGCAGCAAACCTCTTCCTACAGAATTCCAGTGGGAATCAGGTATAACAGTCTGACAGCTGAAAAATCCATCTTTCTGGTATTATATCACTTACTTCAATGTAATCCAGAGTAGTTGCCAATAGAATAATGGTAATAAGGCCAGCAACATACCCATAAGGGTCAACTACTTTCACTTTGCTTTTATTTTCTACCTCTACACTTGCTCTATCATTTCACAATTGTGTGACATTGATGATAAGGGGAATGCAGTAAGAAAATATTGTTAAAAGTATTCAACATGGCAGCATCTATTTTCAATCTGTTTTCACTGATGACAATTTTCTAGCATCCTGTTCATGTACAAAGGATGGTCTTTACCATCTATGTTAAAGTAAGTTTTCTAAATCAATTTTAATTTCCCTCAAGTCAGGCAAGTCTACCTTGCACAGATTAAGTTATATAGCTGATATTCACTTGGCCAAAGGAAATACCTCTAAGCACTGTAATTGTATGAATTACATGCAATTTGGCCAAAGTAACATCTGTAAAGCAAAGTAGCATTTGAAAGAAGATGAGAGAAACTACTCAGGGTCAGAGTGATACATAATGAAATTAACAGAAGGGAAATTTATATTAAGGAACATAAGATGTTGTTCGACCTGTTCTCTTGCTGACTTTAGTAGAGACTTTCCCTAATTGCATTTAATAAGCAAATAGAACATATAACAACAATGGAAAATATAGAACATATTTAGGCAAGTATTTAGGACTTAATTATAATTGAGCCCCCTTCATAAACAAAACACAATTACCTTAGAAATTGGAAATACCTGCCATTTCCAGTACATTTTAATTAAGTTCTTTAGTTTAACAATAGCAAATATAGTGCCCCTTCTATGAATCACTGAGTACATTTATGGTTTTACCAACTCAAGTAACTTCTTAATGACCTGTAGGTTCTTTTCAAAGGAAGTTTCATCTATCATTGCTTAGTTTCAAAACAAAATATTTAACTTCTTCCTTTTATGGTTCCAGGAATAATTATTTTTACGTAATATATTTTATTAAGTAGAAGTTACACACTGCACAATTCATAGCAAACATCATAAGGCATTGTATTATCAATCTTGTTTCTTTTTCTGAGTTCAAGTATGAGTAAATCCTAAAACTTGAAGGAAAATTAAGGACCATTATTAGTTCAGACCCTAGTTTTACAGATCAGGCAACTGAAATCCCAAGACCTGAGTCACTTTCTAAGGTGATTTAGTTTGCCTGTGAGACCGAGCCCTGCTCTCACCCATATAAGGGTCCTTCCTATACCCAGCTGCCTCCTATACCCAGGCTCCTTCCATATGTTTCTGTTGTCCATCTGGGGCTGATGAAGCTTCCTGCTAAGTTTCTTTGCACAGAGGCCAGTTTCCATAGTGCCCACATCAGTTATCATCCTGATTCTTGTAGCATATTGGAGGAAAACCTGCCAGTCACATTCTGGTGGGCAGGAGCAATGCTTTCAAGGAAGTGTCCAAGTTGCAGGCAGCTGGCAAACTGCAGTGGAACTCAGAAGGCCACAATGAGAAATAGGAGAGCCACTTGTTGAGGGAGGAGATCAGTTAGCGCCACACTGAGAAACAGAACCATGACCAGCCACGGAGCCATTCCCAGAAAGCCACGCTGGCAAGGAGAAGCGTTCACACAGGTCACATGAAGAGTGACCTACAGCAATAGGTCCCTGTAGAACACTCTGCGTTTATAAGACATCAACAGGATAAATCATCCGCAAGCTCCTGTCATGCCTATATATATATATATATATACTGTGCATCTACTTAGTCCAGCTTCCCCCAGTCTATAGCTACCCCACACTAGCTCCCCCCACCCCCTCTGTCCAGTCAGAGCCACCAGTGTCTCAAGTCTCAAGTCTATTATTATGATGCAACCTTAATTTCCCTACACTGCTGTCATTCCATGGAGCCTACTGACAAGATGTCTTCTACCCACTTAGAGAAAAACAAAACGAAAGCCAAGCAAACACGTCAACATTCTTGACTCCTTTTTTCCTTCAGCTTCTGCTCATTTTCTCTGCTCATTATATGAACACTACTCAAAAGTAGTTGTTCTATCCTCAGTTGTCACTTTCAAACAACTTTAACTTCTTTCTCAGTAGTCCACCGAATGCCTCCTCTCCTCATCTCCAGTGGCTTCTGGTTGCTGAGACCCTGACCCAACCTCCTTCTCCACCCCGACTTACCCCTGGGTGCAGGCAGGTCAGTATCTGTTCCTTCTGGGCCTTTCTTTGCTCGGTCTCAGGACATCACACTGCTGCGCTGCTGCCCGCTTCCCTGGCCACTTCTCTGGGAGCTCTGTTGCTTCCTTCTCACCACTTTCACTTCTCAGAGGGCCTTGG